CATAACTCAGTAACCTTTTCTCTTTTTCAGTTGCAAGTTGGTTGTAATAATGCAAAATCCCAGACTTACATTTGAGCAGCGGAAATTTGTGTTGAAGTGGTATTGGAAGTTGGAAAATATCAACTAAGTCCAGAGACTCAAATCCTCACTTATGGTGTGACTTGGTGGTTGCGCAGAGTGTTAAAGCGCATAAGCTCTATTTAAACTTCGCCTACCGTGACACGTTTTACATGTGTCCGTTGCTAGACCTTCTGGAGCGTGTAGCACGAGCCCCACGAGATCACAAGAGGTGCTGGAACTTTTCGTTCCTCGTAACAACTAAGTCCAGAGACAGTTTAGGAGTGAATACCACACAGAACCACCAACGCGTCTCACAATTTCGCGTATTCGAGATAAATTTGAAGCAGATGGCACTGTGCAAAATGTACACAGGCAACGATGTGGAAGACGTCGCACATCCACGAGCCCCACGAGATCACAAGAGGTGCTGGAACTTTTCCAACAAACACCAAGGAAATCTGTCCGACAAGCTGCTCGTGAAACTGCAACCCCCAAATCCAGTGTGCATAACATTTTAAAGCGTGCAAAATGGAAAAGCTACATTCCAAGATTAGTGTAGGCCCTGAACGAAGATGATCCTGATCGTAGGGTTGAATTTTGCGTGTGGTTTTCATCAAATTTTGCAGAGGACGCACTGTTTGGCAATAAGATCGTTTGGAGTGATGAGGCAACATTCAAGTTGAATGGTACACAATTGTTCGTACTGGGCAACCGAAACCACACGTTACTGTGGAACAACATGTGAATTTACTGGGCATTACAGTGTGGTGTGGATTATCATCCTTGGGTTTGATTGGACCATTCTTTTTTGATGCAACTGTTACTGGTGCCGTGTACCTCCCCATTTTCATCGCGATGTTAGGGTTTATCTGGATGAAACTTTCCCAAACAGATGGATTGGACGAAGAGGCAGTGTTGAGTACCTTCCGCGTTCACCACATCTAACGCCATTGGATTTTTATTCATGGGGATACCTCAAGGATACAGTTTATGCCACAAAACCAACAACTATCGCTGAACTACGGCAAGCTATTGAATCAGAATGTGCAGCAATATCCTTAGCATAGCAATACATAGCATACCAACAGCAGCAAGTTGCTCAACAGGCTGCGCGGCACTCCTATTCCTGCACTCAGGATTCCCTATCTCCCGCTGTTCTGCGCGGCCCTACGCTCCCTACGTGCAACATTCGCAACTGCACGCTGTTCGTCACTCATTCTAGCCCAACGACCACCACGGCTAGCATTTCCCAAAGCAACGTTTTCTGCAGTTCACACCTCTACAGCGGTGGTAAATGTGTTTTCCACGCCAACTCGAATCGTTTCATTTTGCGGCGACTGCCTCACTTCCTTCCCTTGCAGCTTCCACCAACATGTCTTACCCGCGTTCAATCACATCATCGTGAAGATTATCACTGTCAATGTCGAGGGGAGGAGCGCATTTGCAGAGTTTGCACGACATATGAAACAAAGAGATTACGTTAATATTTTTTACTTCATGGAGTCTTGACACACCCTGTCATAATAGCCATCTAAAGGGTGAGCCTCTTCAAAGAGAAGAAACATTCCAACGTTTTATGGTCTAGAGTCTAGGCCCTAGACTTTGGCCTGGAGAGGCATAGCCTTGTAGGCCTGGCGCTTTAGGTCTTGGGTGGCCTGGCCTATGATCCAGAATGGGATTGCATCATAGGCCTGCGTGTTGGGAGTGACAGCCACGACGACCACCGCCACTGCAACTTTTGATCTCTTCAAATTAAAGTATTAGATTTTGTATTTTTCAGTAGAATAATAGATCAATGTACGGCACCTGCTGATGCTGAGCTTAGAAACAAGTCATGTTAACACTAAAGAAAATTGCGAGTTATAGCGAATATCAGAGGAATTCGAATTATTCTTTCCACGAAGAGAAAACAAGTTCTTGAGCAAGTCGTTCACGTCTCCTCGTTTTAGGCATGACTCAATTATGCACTGTAAAAAATAATGGTTCTCCCGGGAACACTTTACTGGTTCTACAATGAAACTTTCTTGGAACCATTTAATGGTTCCATAGAGGAACACCTATGAAGGTTACATGTACCACCTTTACAAAAGGTGTCACTTAAAACCCTTTCATTAATTACATGGTTCCACATAGAAACTTCACCTTTTGGCAAAATAACATTTTGTCGACTTCGAGCCAAGGTTCATTTCTGAACGTTTGAGCATTACAATACCTCTTCCACTTCTTAGATCTGAAATCCATTCCTGGATACGCTAATCACACTCCATCTTTCTTGAATGAGATACAAGAACCTGCGATCTTACAAGCGCCATGTAGAGACTTAGGAAAAATGAGCATGTCTTTTAGGACGCCCTCGTCAGTAGTATTTGGAGTCTCCTTCTACCGGGTTACCTCCTTGAACGAGTCTTTCCAGGAATTCCAAAGCCTTCCCTTAAGTTGTACATGGGGAAAAATGCAGGCAATTCATTCCTATGGCAATACGGTGAGAATCACTAAGTCTGCGCTTAGGCGCCATCTGACGCCTACTACTACGAAAACCAATTTTTAAAAAGCAAGGGAGTGAGGAGGAGGTCGGCATAGTTCTGAGTGAATGGCGGAAAAAAAAGTATGTATCTAGCCTTGAAGGGATCCTTTTTCGAACCATTATGAGAAACCGCAAGAAATGGTTGCACCTGGAACCAATGGCCAGTTCCAAAGGTTTTACATGAGCGATGGACTTTCATATGGTTCTTCATCTGTGCAGGAACCAATTAATATGGTTCTACAGTACCTGGAATCTTCTTGAGGGTGTAGAAGAATTAAAGGGTTTCTGCCTGAACCAATTTTTTTTACAGTGCATGAATTCTGTCTACTGCTGCACAGACAGATGTAAATTGCCCTTTCAACGTTTTTGTAAGGAAATCCGTCAGTGAAACGCCAAATCTCCCCGATTTCAGAAACTGGCTTTATTTCATATCAGCCACAGTTTTCATGGAACATTAGAGCTCATTTCACCCATTCATGACTTCGGTGGAGATGAAATCGACGTTGGCGGTGACCCAAGTATAACGGGAGGGATATTGTGCACAGGAGCCTTGATGATACGAGTCCACTCCCATGACGTAGGCCACGCTGCCGACGTACACGACAAGAGGTCCTCCGCTGTCTCCCTGCAACGACGTCGTCGAGAAACAAATTCCGATTTTTTGGTCGTATTGTATTATTCATTTTGTTTGTTTTTTTTTCAATTTCCTTCGGTTCTCCGCCAAAACTAAAATGACATCAGGGAAAGAAACGGAATAACTCACAGAGCAAGTTCCCGAACCTGATGGGATCCCCTGCACACAAATGACACCTTTGTTGAATTCACTGAGACACGACTCCTTCGGAAGAACAGTCACGTCCAGTTTCTGCACGACCAAGGGCCGAACTGCAGGAGTTTCGGTGGTGCGGCCCCATCCGAAAATTTTCGCGGGACAAGCTCCGGCATCGCTCAGGCTGTCGGACCTCGGCACGCAGATCGGTTGAACGGAGGGCGAGAAGGTCAGGGCCTGGTTCAGCTTGATCACGGCGATGTCGTGGCCATTCACGAAGTTAGCTGCGGATGACCAACAACAAATCAAAACAGAAACAGTTGCATCCACAGCCATGGGATTCAGAGATGAAGACATTGCTATTGTCCTCGAGATTTCGGCATCAGCATTTCATTTTTTAAAATTAATTCCCTCCCTTCGAAGATATGAGAACACTCCACAAATGCACAACAGATCGTCAGTTGGTGCGGCAGTGCCACTTTCAACCAAACCTTTCCCGAAGTTCATCCTCCACATTCATACCTCTGAGGAACGAAATCGGCCATGCCTCTTACCCTCGCAGCACAGAATGAAACATAGAAACGCATTTGAAGCGTCGATTTCCTTGCCCGACAAGGAGCGTGCATACTCTCTTTTTGAAGATTTCAATTGCATTTGCTGTGAGAAACGAAAGTAACTCTTTCATTCAGGCCTGTCGTATGCTCTCCGGTCCCTTCCCCAGAGAAGGACCGAAATATGCGATGCGGTAAGGAGATATCGTTGACGGGCATCTCCGAGTAAGCAGGATGGGGCTCAACGTGCATTTCAAGCACCGAGCCGAGTCCTCTCCTCATATCTGGTCGAGATGTTTCCAGAAGCTCCTTTTAGGCCAAACGGTACACGTCCGCGACGAAAAGTTTTTCGAAGGCTTTAAGATTAAACGTAGTAGACTTAATTTGCCGATTAGTTGAAAATTGAATATTTTTTAAACGACAGGAGGGGAGCTTGGACCGTACAATGAAAAAAATAATGCGTCGATTCAAGCTCGGCCCAACGTTAGTGAGCACCGCAGTGAATGGGAGGGGGAAGGGAAGGGGAGGCCTGGAATTGTAGGAAAGAAAACCATTGGGAAAAAATTGTTCACAAAAATCCATCAACTAATGAATTATGAATACCAATTTACAAATATTCACCCATAGGCATGGAGCCATAGAAAACTTCATTGTGGGTCTTCTTGAGTGTTATGAATTTCTCTGCAGGAACACAAATCACCATTGTTCATTCTGTTGCACAGAAATTTCCCTTCATAGTCCCTCACGAACGTCCTCGCACAGTCGAGCCTTGAAGCTCGGTTGAGACGGTCCTTTATCTTAGATTTAAGTTTGCATCCTATCATATTACTCAATTTGGAGCTTCCGATGATACTCAATAATGCAAGCAGTATCTACAATTAGCAACATTGCTTTCTTTCCACTCACCGTTGTCATACGACGTATGAGGACGCCAGGTCGCAGCTGTGTAAGTCGTTCCCAGTTGGTAATTTTCGCTTCCGACCCTGACACTGACAGCGGTTGCCAAATTCGTCCTTGATGAAATAAAAAACGAGAGATGGGATCAAATATAATTTGAAGGAAGTTATATACCGAATTGCCAATTAAAAACTCCTTGTGCTTGGCACCTCATAAAATCAGTTGTGGATGGTCAAAATGGTGGTTTGGTAAGCCAAACTGACCCGTCCATGATGCAGTGAGCGGCAGTCAAAACATGGAGCTGGTCGATGATGGACCCCGTGCAGTAAAACGATCCGCTCGGTTTGGTGATGGAGACGTAGGCCATCCACGGGGCTTCCGCGATGGTGGCAGGGGCTCCACCGATGATCAGGGGGTCTTCCTCTCTGTTCTCCAGTTCTGACCCGACCAGTGGAAGCAGGAAAATCTCCAGGAATCGAGTGAACCAGCTGCTTGAGGTGGATGCAGGGGGCAAGTTCCAACGTCCACATTGGGTCGGCACTGGAGTACAAGAAAACAAGTAGTAAAAAAAAATTCCTTGAAACGTTATTTCCGCCTTCCATTCACTCATGTGTCTCGGAGTCGACCTCCGAGACACATGAGTGAATGGAAGGCAGAACAGGATCGCGAGGTGCAAGCGAAAGCTCGATGGATGGAATCTTTACTGAGGAAAACCTTTGTAACACTTTTTCTTAGGGCCTGTCATAGAAAGTTGCAAACCATACAGTATCTCAACGTGAAACTTGACTTCAATGCGTGTGGGAAGAGCCTTAATATATCTTCCTCTCAGATATTATCGCAATTGAGGAGCAATAACTTTCCCAGAACCTAGTATTATGAGTCAAAGCATTCGTACAAATGATATTTTCTTCCCATTGTCGATGGAGTGCACATTGGATTCCCACCAAAATTAAGAAAATACTCACGAAACAGCGGCGGAGTTGACGTGTATCGGCTGCAAGGCGAGGGAAGAGCGGTAGTTGTTGTGCTCGTGGTAGTAGTTCTAGACGTTGTCCCCGTAGGTGTTCTCCCCGTAGTCGGCGTATTCGTGATCCATCCCTGAAGACTCTCCCTGGGTAAGGCTAGAAGAGCGACGAAAGCGAGGTATCCGTTCATGGCGAAGGTTCTCCTCTGACTGGCCTCCGAGCTCAATCGCTTCTCTCGCGGGAGGGGAGAAACTTGGAAGGCGTTCGTTCGTTGCACGTGATGTGTGTCTGCGAGTATGTGGAGTTCGTGGGGAAAATCCGACTTTTTTCCTGAAGGGGGAAAAAAGTCTCTAATTCCCATGCCAACACGCGAGAAATCGGGACGTGACGCGACTGCCATTCTCCGTTCCTTTCCTCATCATGGTTGACAACATAATGAGGAAATCTCTATGTGACAACGAGGAAAAAGGGGAATGAAAAAGTTGAACGCGCATTCGTTCTCTACGGGAGAACGATATCTTCGTGCATGCGAGCCACGATGAGATATGAAAGCCTTTGCCATTGGAAGGCCAGGAGGTGAGACTATTTTCTGTGCTTGAACCCCTTCACATTTCATTAAACTAGGCCTGCAGCCGGAATATCTCGAGTGTAGGTCATTCTCCCGTTCATCAGCTATGCATCTCTCCGGTCTCATTGGCTTCATCGATCCATGTATTATTTGAAATTATGTTCTTTCTCTATCAAGAAATTTTCCAATTTAATGTGTAATCGTAGTGTGAATACTTTGAACTATTAGTATTTGTAAAATTGAAAATGATAAAATAGTTATATTCCTTTCATTTCACTAAATTAACATCGCAATCTTTCTGCTTTAATGCCTTCTATCAAATATGTTTATAAGATCAGGAATTATCGAGCAGGGGTAGGGTACCAGATTGTGTGACTGGCTAGTACACGCCCAGTGGCTGGTGCCGAGTCTAAGTATCTCGGTCCACGTGTCCCGTGTGGGACGACGTTTTGTCTCAATTATATTTTCCAAACACTTTAAGTGCGAGTAAATTCCCACACAGCTCGAGATGGTGGAGCCCATCATGCACTCGTGGCGCATCGATCCCAGGCGATTCGGGAAAGAGGATCCAAGCGAAAAGGGAAGGAGTCGGCGTTCCCGGGCCTCTGAGACCTCGTCGCTTCAGTGAGGAAAGTGGATGCCCGTCTCCGACGAGCGCCGCCGCGGAAGGCTCGCGTCTCGGAAGAGGCGATGGGGGTGGCTGCACATAGGAAGCGATGCGTGTCGCTCGAGGATGTTCGTCAGAGGAAACTCGCAGTCGATGGTCCGAACCTCCTGGATCTCAGAGGGGAAAATTGAGCATGATTATGTTTTTCAGAGGGGGGGGGGGAAGCATTGGAGTCTTTATCGACGAATCTGGACACGATCTGCGGGCTCTGTTGAACAAAGGGTCGGTCCATAACAGGATGCGCGAAGAAAGCCGACACGCAGAAGGACGAGAATGTCGCCATGGTTGCCGTGAAACTTCTCAAAATGAATTAATGCAATAATCACTATCTTAGATAATTGAACGCCGAAGGCAGGACCATGGCGAGTCTGCGAGGCTCCGCATTAGGGAGTGTTTTACAACGAGGATGGATCCCTCGTTTCCCTCTCGGGGGGGGGGGGGGGGGAAACCCG